TTCTCGACCGCCCTTATTCCATCTTATTGATGCCTCCGTCCTGCAAGACTCTGATAGACACACGGGAGAAAGAAGACAATAAGGAGAGGGACAGTTAAAGTAGCTCACACAGCTTTTGACTGACACTGAGAATAGCTTGAAACCTGTGCTGTTTTTAACCTCTGTCATTTCAGCACTGGAGAACAATGACAAGTGATTCCAGCGTGTGGGTGGGTTGAATACGTACTTAGGAGTCGTGTGAGATGTTTTTGGTGTGGTTTTGTCACATTGCACAGCAGTTGCTATGGAGTCTGGAAATTATTTCTGAACAGAAAGTGGAAATGAGCTTCCAACCATGGACAAAGTCGTCTGCAAGACTCCTTTTCCAGAATGCTCTTGCAGTTTCTGTAAGAGGTTTATAACTTTGGTGCCAAGGATTTAAACTGTTTATGACCTCCCAACACAAGCTTATAAGCAGTTCGGTTGCCCTTCATACAGCATAATTCTTGGCTCTTCCCTTTCAACATGGTTGAATGGAGAGAGAGAGAGAGATCATGGTTGAAGGTCTCAGGGGGGTCCTCGTTGCTTAAAACCCCTGAAGGCAGCATTCTCCATTTTCCTTCTTCCTGGAGCTCTAAAAGTGCTCCTGCCGCATCCTCCCCGCTGCTTGCTGGATCGATGAAGCTTTGCTAATGGGTTGACATCTGCTAGCTAGCGTGAGTCGTTTAAAAGACTTTCTTTTCTTTTTTTTTAACATGGCTCAAACACGGAGCTGTTTCCTTCTGGGATTTCATGCATTATTTAACCACTCGGGTTGATACATATTGATGTTATCTAGAGCTCGCAGAAGACGCTCATCAGTGTTTTCCTGACATGAATGAACGTACCCAGGAAGAGGAGCTGTTGATTTATCTTTTTGATGGCACTTGTGGTATTTCCTGTGAGCTGCTGGAATATAAACACCGTTTTCTGAATGAAGTTAAATGTGTGTTGACCGAGTGAACTGCACAAATGAATCTGGAGCAGCGAGTGAACCGCTGACCTGTGTTTGTCCATCTGATCAAAGTAAAGCTAAGCTTGAAATGGGTCTGCTGTGTGTCCCCTTGGGGTTAGAGGCAGTAAAAGCAGATCTGATCATCTTTTATTTTCCTGAAATACAGACATTTTCATGTGTTTCCGACAGATAAAATGGAGTGGATGGTGGAGCTCTGTGGAGCCGCTGTAGTGAAAGATCCACTTCTACTCGATGGTAAACAGGTAAGAGTGTCCAGCCGCTCACACTTATAAACTTCACAAAGAGCCACTGCTGTTCTAAATTCATGCTTTCCTCTCTTACTTCAAAATGTATCTTAAGATTGGTTTAAAACTAGATCTAGGATGACTTGCACTTTATACTGTAAGGTAAGATGCTACAATAATAGAGAAAAAACCCCAACAACCAGACGACCCCCTGTCTGCAAGCACTTGGCAAAAGTGGGAAGGAAAAACTCCCTTTTAACAGGAAGAAACCTCCAACAGAACCAGGCTCAGGAAAGGGGCAGCCATCTGCCACGACTGGTTCGGGGTGAGGGGAGGGAGAAGGCAAAAAATTCCTGTATATGAAATTTCAGCGTTAATGTCTCTGTTTCACTTACGATCCCCGCGATGCGCTCCATTACGGGTAAGTCAGGCAGCATTCGGTAAAGCAGATGCCTCCCAGAGCAACTCTTTGTCTCACAAAGCTGCATTAGTGCCTCTTATTTGTCTCCTGGGTTTAATTTCATTTTTGAAAATGACACATTAATGCTGAATTGTTCAGCAGAAGTGACACTAATTATGGTTAAAAAGGCAACATTTATTATTACTGACAGTCAGAGATGCAGTAATCACAGTCGCTGCTTAATCAGCCGTGAGTCATTTAGAAAGTTTCAGACAAGATCGATCGACAGGCAAGGATAAAAATACTGCGCTTTAACATTTTGACTGATTGTAAGTACTAAACTGTTTGTTCTATTTGTGCTTCGTTTTATGATGAGAAATTGTTGTTTTTTCTACTCCTTTTGTTCCGCAGAAGTCCCGGCAGCTCGTCATTGTACAGCCTAAACCAGAGTCATCATCTTCAACTTACAACAGTGAGTCTTGGCTAGAAATAAAAATAAATTTTCACCTTTTAATTAATTTATTTTTTTAATATCTGATCATAACTCACTTTATTTTAACCTAATTGGCTTATTTCTGTCTCTCTCACAAGCAAATAGTCTATTACATGCTTCCACACGCAGAGGTCGTGAAGACAGAGATTAGACTGACCCCGTAACAGGGGTTACATATTCATACACAGCCTCACCGAGGGGTTCGGGCTACTACAGAGACAGACAAGAATTGTGTGTGACACACAGTGTACTAATATAGTTTTGTGTTATTATATAAGATGAGATTTCATAAGCCTTGATATGGTGCAACAAAGAAGTGACACCAAGTGATGACACATTTTGTAGGCAAATAATGGATGGAAAAGATTTTCACGTTACAAAATGAGTTTGTGCCAAGGAGTCAGTTGTTTTTGTTTTTTAATATTATGCTCAAATGCTAAAAAGAAAAGGAGACAAACATTTTTCTTTTTCTTAATGTTCTTAATTATTACAAAGTTTTATTTATAGATTTATTGAAAGTTGGCTTTTCTCTGTAACTAGTATTTAGCATTCCAGTTAATTTAGCTGATGATTTAGTCTCTGCAGTGTATTACAGCAGTGTGCAAAGAGCTTGTTGGGTTTGAAATGGGTGTGAAACGGCTATATTCACAATAGCTGCTTACATTCACAGTCCACCTGCGTTACTT